TTTACATTCACTCATCCCTCTTTGGATGTAACTCTTGCTCAGAATTGTGTATTGATACTCACTACTGTCCTTTCCCCCCTAGTTTTAATAACCATTCGTATGCCTAAAAGCATACACATATTATTTACTCTGTTTCTGAGTAATCTTTGGAGAAAGAATAAGATATTGTACTGGACACTTTTTTTTTTTTCAGTGCTGGTTTTCAAACCCAGGGCTGCATGCATGCTAAGCACATGCTGGACCATTGAGCTACTCCTCGTCCCTTAACAGATGTTTAATGGTGCCTTCTCTGTCCAAGCACAAGTTCTAGGGGCTGGAGAATAATAGCAGTGAATGACAAAGAAGTAAAAAATTTCCACCCTCGTGGACAAATGATAAACAAATAAACAAGCAGGCTATTCAATAGTGATAAGAGCTGTGGATAAAAATAGGGCAGGGAAAGTGGGGGGTGGGAGCTCATCCTGCAGTAACCACGATGTAAGGCAAGAGCCCAGGATCCATGAGTAAATTTGATATGATAAGACTTGAGGATGGTCTCAAGGAGATGATTTGAGCCAGACCTTGAATGTTTCTTCAGCTTAAAAAAAATATTTTAGATCCCTATTTAGGAATTAAAATATAATTCACCTTTTTAGGTCCAGCTAATGATATTCTCATAGGGTAATGTTTTTTTTTATCAACCTTATGCTGTTTAAAGCCTTGCAAAAATAGTTAGGGTCGTTCCCTTGGAAAAATCGGAAATCTTAGGGCTGTTCGCAGCTTCGGAGATGAATCAGTGAAAAATCCTCTATTTGGTAGATGACAAAAATGAGATCTGAAGCGATCGATGAATTAGATATATTTACATGCCTATTGCATATATCATATATATATATATTAGCTGTTATGGAAAAGGAATGCTTCTAGGTTAAATTATTTGTTTTAGGTTATAAAACTAACTAAAGGTGAAGGTAATTCCAGGGCCTGGGATTCTTTTAGCTCATGGTCGAAGTTTTTCAATAGTGTATATTTTGTTAAAAATTGGAGATCAACATCACGGTCTAATTGCCTCAATTCACAAGAGCAAACTCAGTTGCAGAGCAAGGATCTAGCATAAAGTAGGACTCAGTTGACCTTTTAAGTTACCTGAGGCTTTGAGAATAGGGAAAGGACAGAGCAGGTGATGCCAGATCTGCTGAGAAGTTCCTTGCTTTCTCTAGAAGGACAAACCCACCAACTATGGGCACTGGAGGCCTGACTCTGGGATTGTTGGGGTAGAAGAACACAGAGCCACGGTGCCCCCAGCTATTCGGCTGAGTTACCCCCTGCAGCTCGCCTGCTTGCTTTGCCTGTTCCTTGGCTTCTCTTCTTGAGCCCAGTTTCCATTTCTGGAGCCCCTGCTGCCTGAGCACCAGCTGCCCGCTGCCGAGCTTATCGTCCTCCTTGACAGAAAGCCAAAAGCTCCTGTGGTTTTTCCTCACTCCATATGCTGGTTCTACCCCACAGGGCCCATGGCTCCTTCTCCTGGTACCCCTTCCCTATTCTGAGCCTTCTTGCCGAATATACAAGTTTTGCAATTCCAGGGAATGTTCGATATTACAAGTTTTGCCATTCTAGGGAATGTTCAGAGACTCAGAATCTTAAGAGGTTTATGGAATATAGGATAAGACAACAGAGAGTATCAAAGACCGCTTAGATGGCAGGTAGGGTTTCCAAAAAGGATACTGACTGCCCAGTGAGATTTGGATTTCAGTTTAAGTATGTCTCAAATATTGCTACATAACTAAGTATTTGTCTCCAATTCAATCCAGACTGGGCATTCTGTATTTTTACTTGCTAATTCTGACAATCCTGCATTTCTAGGGGATAGGACAAGAGAATAGGAGGTGGCAGAATTTGTCTTTGGGCACAAGGAAGACAAGAGGAAAATAAACATCTGTCAATGAATCTCTCTCTATTTTTGATGGGTGTGGTGTGTGTATGTGTATATACATGCCCTTACGTTTCATAGGACACAAGGACTGATATTAAAGAAAACCGTTCACAGTCATACTGATTACAGACTTTGAATAAATGACAGCCAGTGAGAAGATTAAAACATGCAAAATGTGGTCAGTTTAAAAGCAAATCTAATTTTTACATTTAGGTAAACCGCCTATTATTTTTGCCCAGCTGCAATACAACCCTATCACAATTTCACTTTTTTCCAGACTGTCTTTATATATCTTCCGAGAACTCTACAATGATCCCAGAGGAGTCTGAGAAATCACCTATTTGACTTGGACCTCTGCAGGTTAAGTAACCACAACCCAGAGAGAGAAAGTCATCAATAGAGGATCTCACTGCCTCTCAATATTAACAACAAAATACTATTTTATGAGGGCTTACTAAGCACTGAGCATCGTTCTAAGCGACCTATTTGCATTATCACATTTAATTTGCACAACCACATAATCATCCTCATTATTCAGATGACGCAAGTTAAAGCATAGAAAATTATGCAATTTACCCAGAGTTCAAGGTCATACAGCTAGTAGCTGAGGCGACTGCCAAAACCCTCGCTAGTCTGGCCCAAGATTCACACACTCAACCATGACACCCTCGCAATTAAGACGAGTTTGTATCACTAAACTTGATTGCAAATGTAAAACTTTCTGAGTTCACTGAGCCTGTGGTATGATTTTATACTAAATCACAAGGTCACTAGAATGTAATTTTTGGAAAGTTGATAGGATGCTGTTGCCATCCCTATCAATTTCAAAATGAAAGAAATTATCTGCTGACTTATGAACAAGCCCTTATCACAGGGAGTCCATGGTTAGAATCAGAAATCAATTTCACTGCACTTAGTTTTGAAACATTTTTTTCTAAAATACGTAATACCATAGAGCTACCATTGAAGCAAATATTTGTAGTATTGATAAAAACTTTTATGAATTTACAGTTTGAATTGCTCGAGAAAGAAAAGCAGGAGGAGGAAGACAGAAGGAGAAATCAAAATGAAGAGGAGTCCCCTTATTTACTATTAGCCACTAAGTGAGCAAGTTCTTTTAGACAACAGGACTTCTTATTAGCGATCTCAGTGGCTATACAGCTATTGTTCTAACTATATCCAGAAAGAACCGTCATCCTCATCTTCAATGTTATATTTTCTAAGTCTTACATGCTGCTCGTTTTTTCTTTTCTCTCTTTCAAGAGTGTCAGCACTTGTGACTAGATGATCCAGCCCCTTTGCCCATTTCCAGACGCCAGTCTCCCTGTTTATCAAAGATGAAGGATTAAGCTCAGCCGCTTCTGCTTCTATATCATGTTTTCCAAGAATTACCCTTCCTTATGACACAAAGGCCTGTACAAACTTAAAAAAAAAAAAAAGTGAGGCTGAAATTCTCTGAAGCTCCAAGATCAGGGTCTATGGGATTGACCTGGGATATCCCAAGACTTCACAAATCCACTGCCATGGGAATTGGGGGCAGTGCAAATTTAGTCTTTCCTCTCTTCTGCACTTCAGCTGAAAGAAAGGCTTCCTTTGGGAGTTCTGTTTTGCATGTCTACTATCAAGAACATCACCAAATCCTTTTAGAGAGAAACCAGCCCTCCCCCACCCCCTCCTGCCTTAAACCAGCACAGGAGTGTTTGAAATGAACGCAGCTTCCTACCAAACAAATCTATATCCTCTCTTCTTCAGAAAGGTGGCAGTGTTGCCTTGCAGTTTTGAACAAATTACTAAGCAGTAGTGAGGTCTCTGGCTGATTGACAAACCCAGGGCCTCACCTCAACATGGAAAGGAAAGGAAGGATTTAATCCACTGTTGGCTCTTTGTGACTGGTGGCTGGCAGACTAGCCCTGGGGCTTCAGGGGCACTGTGGCTTGTGGCCACCTAAGCTCTCGAATTTACAACTTGCTTCAATAGTGTCCATCCTCAGATAACCTCCAGCGGAACCCACAGATGTCTAAAAACAGGGAGCATCGAGGGAAGTTACTGATGGAATAATTCTTACCTCCCAGCATTCACTTTTCTTATTTTTGAACCATCCATCCCCAATGAAGCAATTAACTGGCCCTCTTCAGAGGGACAAGGGAAATGTCGCTTAGCAAATGATGCAGCATCTTGCTGACACCTGTCACATCCAATGTTCACATCAGAACTCTCAGAAAAGCAATCCATCTTTGAAGTAGGTGTTTTGCGTGGCTTGTTACCACTATTATAAAACCAATAATATACACAGAGCTACTGAAGAGCTTAAAGGGCCAAGTGTTGTTCCGTCTAAATGTGGGAACCCACACAATGGTATCTTCAGTGGACACCTGCACCAACCCTTCATAAAGAGCAAATAGAGTTCCCATAGCTTCCTTCCACTCACCTGTCCTCAGAGGCCTCTGAGAAGTTTCTCTGTACACCACTAACACAGAAATTTTGGGGAAAATTCTCCATTTATAAATATCAGATGGTTTGGGAAAAAATATTTGTGGCACTGGACTTTTTTTTTTTTCCCTACAGTGATGTCATTTTAAATTCTTGGTGTGCTCCAAATTTGCTATTTTTACTTCCCCCAAGTGACTTTTTTTGGGAAATACATTTGTTTGGATAAGCTACATTTTTAAGTGACCCCTGTACCTAATACACAACATCAGGTTCATCTTCTCAGCCATTATTAACTGATATTACGCAGTTCCCAAACTTGAAATCCCTTATTTGTTCATTTCAAAGTTGCTCCTTTTGGATTTTACCCCTCCGAAATTTCTATTCACAGATATACAGACAAAATAATAAGAAAATAATAAGAGGACTGGCCTATTCACAAACAAAACCCACACTCAACAACTCGAAGCATTTGAAACTTAAAGACATTCAAGGCCCCCAAAGTCAAGCAAAATTCTTTGCTTCCAAAAATGTGCTGGGGGAGAGGGGGACAGAGTTGTCACCACGATAGGCTTTAGGCATTTATTGGAAAGCAGTTCTAGAATTAAGAATTGCAGAAGAGGAAAAGTTTGAGAAGGAAGGCTAAGTGCCTTCGCCCTACCTGATCTGAACTTGCTTCTAATCAGCAAAGAATGCTCAGACCCCAGAAGTGTCATGTTGAATCTCTCAGCAAGCCGCTGGTCCCTGTGCCAGGCGCCCCCTGTTTTCCACCAGGAACAGGCTCCCGGGAGCCCAGCTGACCGCAGCTAACAACTCAGAATTCATCCAACTCTCTGTGAGCTCCCCTGGGTAGGAGTACGTACAGTGGCAGCCAGTGTCCCCAGGAAACTGGCGCCTCCCCCCTTCGCGGTGCGGGGCTAATTAACTCTTAGCCGGCAGGACCCTCCTCCTCCTCCTCCTCCTCTGAGGTTGGCCAAGAGCTGCGGCATCCCAGGGTTCCTGGCTGATGTCATAGGCTGCCAGCGATTGCGGAGTATCACCACCACGCCTTTATGAAGGTCCCAAGTTTGTTATCTGATACTCTTTACTACTGACAGGCGCTCAGCCAATCAGGAGCGATGAGCGGGGCCTGGGGACCTGGAGCCGCCAGGGGTGTCTCGGCTGCTGGCTCTTAACTCTTTGCAGTGGGCTGAGCGGCCGTCCTGGCGCAGAGAGCAGGAGGCAGGGCCCCAGGGTCGTGAATCTCGGCCAGGGGACAGAGCTAAGGAGCTGAAGCCCCTAGGACAGAAGGAAGGGCTGCGACACCACGGGGCTTGCAGGTGGTGCGCAGTGCTGCTGCGCTAGGAGCTTCCCTGGCCCGGGGGTGGCTGCCGCGTCTGGGCTTTCCCCGGGCTTCTCCGGTTTTCTGTCTGCGCGGAGGGACGCGCGGCTGGGATCTCCTGCCAGCCGCCTGTAAAGGCTGGGGGAAAGGATGTGAGCGCACACTGGGACAGTCACACTGGGCGCGTTGGAAATAAGCTGGACCCCTTCCTTGCAAAGAAGCAAAGTTTGCAACGGACTAGAGTGCCTACTTTCTTCTCTGTTGGAGGGGCTCAGAGCGCAGGAAAAGACCGTCCATCATACAATTCGCTGCTCCAATATCAGATCTGGATACATTTCCACGGAGAAAATGAAACATTTCTATCTTTTTTTTTTTTAAATGCTTTCTTTGGGTACATATCTAACTCACTGTGTCTGGAGATCCTATGGGGGACCCAATGCTCCCTGACCCTTCTCAGGACGGGGGAAGATATATGCCCTATTGGACTCAGCAGGGTGGACTCAAGGAGGGAGGGGCTCAGCTGGGCTTAGTTTGGAAAGGCTCCAAGGCTTTTCCAGAGAGCGAGTCTCTCCGTTACGTAAAAAAAAAAAATCCATTGAGCATCAAACACGGAGTTATTGAGCATCTAGAATGGTCCAAGTGGTATATGCTCAGCAATAATAATACAAAGACCCTGCTCTCAAGAATCAGACTTAGTGGTGGCATATAGAAATAAAAACAGTGCGTTTTTTTATATATATATAATTAGGTTTTCATTCATTTGCCATCTCATAAGCACATGGTTCCCCAGGTATGAACTAGTTACTTATTCCATTACATGCTTACCTAAGTCTCAGATCTCTGAATCCTTGAAAGACCAGTCAGTGATAGATGGAGACCTAATATGACAATAACTCATGAGGACAATCTCTTATTCCCTAAGTCTGGCCTTTGTCCCCCCCCCCCTCCACCACTTCTTTTGTTGAAGACACATTCAGATGGTTAGTCCTTTGGTTCACTCTTTGCATCTGACCAGGTCGTTGGTGTAAAAATAAGGTTTTCTGGAATAGGAAATTTTCTTCTGGCTGTGTCAGAGAGGAGATGGAGTTGTCCCACCCAAGTTCCTCCGGGGAAGAGCGTCCTGGGTGGTGAGGCCAATTCACAGGCTGAGAGGTGTGTGGAAGCATCACAGTGATCATGCAACATTCTTAGACGAAGTATGTGACTTTCCTATTTCTGTTGTAACGTCTCCATGAATTTAGTGGCTTAACGCAACACAAATTTATTGTCTTGCGGTTCTGCAGGTCAGACATCGGAAATGGGTCTCACTGGGTTGAGATCAAGGTGTTGGCAGCTGCATTACTTCCTTGAGGCTCTAGGGGACAATCCATTTTCTTTTCCTTTCCAGCTTCTAGAGGCCACCCACATTCTTTGGCGGGTAGCCTTTTTTTTTTTTTTTTCCCCATCTTCAAAGCCAGTAATGTTGTGTCAAGTCCTGATCACATTTTAACCTTCACTCCTGCCCCCAAATTCTGCACCCCTCCTCCACCTTAACTATACTATAAGGATAAATGCGATTGTAAGGTCAGCTGATTATCAACCTTCATTTCCTTCTACTACTTTAATTCTTCCTTTGCCATGTAATGTAGCCTAATCACAGATGCCTGGAATTAGGATATGTGAACATGGGGCAGGTACCTTCTTCTGTATGAGACTTATTTTTTCTTCTCAGCATCTCCCTGTCCTGAGTCAAACCCTGACCTCCCTGTATCCAATGAGAAGAGGTACAACAGAGGGAGGTTTGGGACTGGAGGTGCTCAGAAGCCTAGGAGAAAGTTTTGAGAGGTGTGTCTCCCAGGGTGAGTACTCTGGAGAAAAGAGTTAAGTAAGATAAATAATATTATAAAATTGTCTCGAGGAGAGAAAACTATTTTGAGCAACATAAAAAAGGAAGGAAAGGGGGGAAAAAAATCTAAACAGATTTTTATCCTGAACGCTTTGGGGGCCGAGTAGAGATAATGGCAACTTGGCAGAGAATTATTTTTTTCAGTGAAAGTTGGAATGAAGTTAGCTGAAGCCAACATTGAATGCAAGGGTCTACATGACCTAGAAGAGCTGAGGGGAGGAAGCTGTTTTCTCTCTGTTGCTGCACGGGACTGGGAGGGGGATTGGGGAGGGAGGGAGAGAATGAGCCTGTGGGCATATGTATGCCTGTGGAGGAGTGTAGTTTCTTTTCTCTCTTCTTATTTTTGGGGGAGAATGGGGAAGGTGTTTGAGAAATACTGTAACCACAGTCCTCTTCAATTTTCCCATCAGAGTGTGGAGTTGCTGACATCTGTCCTCTGGGATTTTTTTTTTTTCCCCAGTAGCTTGGAATATCTATGGATATAAATATGCTCATATAGAAGCTCATCCTTTGCCCTCTTTAGTCAAGCATTTTTTTAAGATTATTTTTCAGTTTTATTTTTTATTTTTTTTTGGTAGAATTTGGAAAGGATGTTCCCCAAGAGAACAGAGTTCTCAAACTGCTACACTTCGGGCACAGCACCTGCTAATGCAGCCAGGCTCCATCCTGCCATTGGACCACCTCGGGAGTATTTCTCCCAGGCCTTGCCATCGTGACCCTTCTCTTCTGGGGACTGGAGGGAGCCTTTGCTGTGGCACAGAGGATAGTCATGAGCCTCCAGTGTGTGGAGGATCTGCCTTTGAATCTGGGTGCCCTGTACTCTGGAGTGAGTTATCTAACACGTGGCATTTTTTTTTTTAATCTATAGAATGGAGATAGAATTATTTCCCAGAAGGGTTGGGAGGTTTCAATGGCATCATCCATTTGGAATGCCCAGAATAATTCTTCCTGGTGAGTCGAAGGCCCCTCTCTTAATTTCCCTTTTCTCAATCATTCATGAAGATTCCAGGCAAACCTATGTCCTTCCCCTTTGTTTATGCCTTTTCCTTTTCTTCACTTTTAGTCATTTAAGGCTGCATAACAAATGACTGGCATTTCAGTCAAGGTACCACGTCCTTTACCCATAAAATGGTAAAGGAGCTGAAAAACTCCTATCACTTAGTGATGCCATAGACCTCATGAATTTAGGGGGAAACAGAAAGAAAACTAATGTGCTGCTGCCAGTTGTGTAAAAACAAAGCACTACAATGGTGCACAGGGTGTCAAGTTTGATAATGACAAGGGATTACACTACCAGGTGATTTACTATACTTTTATCGTTGTTTTAGTATGTCTTCCTTCTCCTTACAAGAAAACGTTTACCGTGAAGCAGAACTGCAGTATTATATACCAGCTGTCGTCTTGTACATCTCATGCTTAGTGCACCTTTGGTTTGCATCGAAAGGCCACACTGAATAATATCCCTACACCATCCAGGTTCCTTTAAGTTACCTGCTCCAATGTGTTCACAATGATAAAGATTGACTAATTACACATTCATCAGAGCCTATCCCATTTTTAGGAGGCACATGAGTGTATCACATATTTAGCAGCTTAGAACAACACACACATTTGTCATCTCCCAGTGGGTGAGGTCGGGAGTCCAGCCATCGCTAATCTGGATTCTCTGCTCAGGGTCATCAAAGACTGTCTTCAAAGTGTTGACTGGGGTTGGTGTGCCATGAGAGGCTCAGCGTTGTCCTCTGAGCTCAGTGTGTAGGTAGAATTCAGTTCCTGAAAGCTCTAGAACTTACAGTGACTTGCCTGTCCAAGGCCAGCAGGAGAAAGGTCTTTCTCTTGGGAAAACCAAAGACCCCCTTTTAAGCAGTAGACCCACCCATAATGATCTCCTTTTAAGATGAACTCAAAGTCATATTTATTAGGACATTTAATATTATCTGCAAAACCCCTTCATCCTAGCCAAATAACATAACCTGATCAGAAGAGTGCCGTCTGTCCCATTTGCCTGTCCCATTCTGATGGGAAGGGGACTGATCCCCAGGGAATATATAGCACATAGGGGGTATATTCATTTAGAATTCTGACTTCCGTGGCTGTGGTCCTCAGCCTGCCATCGAAATGGGAGTGATTCTGTCTGTAGTCCAAAGCACAGCTCGGGGCAGGCGGGTTGAACTCTGACCCTTACAGACCTCCTTTCCTAAGCACAGCATGAAGTCAGCTGCTGGGTCACAGACAGGGCACAAGGGATGGCACACCTGTGATGGCCTGAGGACCTCCAGTTCCCTCCCTGGGGAGGTCCTTTCTTAGCCCAGTCCTCTCATCCCACCTAAGGTCGCCACCGTTTGCATGGATCTGATGGTCTTCCTGTCCTTAGGGCCTGTTCCTGGGATCATCTGTCTGTTTTCTTCTGTTTCTTTCAGGTGTTTGGTGGATAAGCAATCTCAGGGGAGCATTTTCCCCTCTGTCATCTGCTCACTGAAAATGGGATTTAGGGATCTGTGGAAGTCACTTGGGCAAGTGCCCTGAAGGCACAGAATGTAGGGGACAGGTTTGCAAACTCCAACGAGTTGTGTGGGCCAGGGATAAGAGAAAATGTAAGGGGTTGGCATGCAGCAATGTGGATAGCAGATGGCTTGTCCAAATGGGACAGTCATGACCCAGCTCTGGGTAACCGTAGCTACACAGGAGGGAATACAGACCCTCGTTGCTGTACACTCCAACTGTTCAAAGAAACTGGAAATCCAGATTGTAATGTTGAACAAAATTGATCTTGAAATGTGAACAGCAACACAATGTTTTAATA